TATACGGTTAACCGGGAACCGTTTTTGTAAAAACTTTAAATAAAATAAATATAACCTCATCTGAAAAATAGAGAATTTCTTTATTTACAAAAACCAAAACAAAAGTACGGGTAAATATTTATGTCGGCTGTCAAGTCAATAGGGAGTGAGGCAACTCGTCTTGTGCACCCTTGACCATGTATTAAACGTTGAACGTATACAAAAAAAAATAGCAAATATTTACACACATTACATCACCTTTCGTTTTTTGGTGATTTTAGAAAAAACCAAAAAAAAAAAAGTCCAAGGTCTGCTCACTCAAAAATTTAAACCCAGTTGAAATACCAGTATAAACGTTTATAAACGTTAAAGTTAGGCGTGTTCATGACTCATGAGTCATGACTCGAGATGAGAAAGCTGTTTATCGTAGTGATCATTCACTGATCACATTCTGAGTGGCGGGAATACAAATAGCATACACGGGGCCATAGCTGTTACAAGTAAAGCGAGTCTCTGGCGGAACATATCGGAGCACCTGCCTTGTATACGCCAAGCAGCCTTGATAACTGAAGGGGAACACACCACTCGGCCTAGTTCTTCGGATTCTGACTCACGTACTGGTAGTTATGGCTGCCCACGGCGGACGGGTCTCTGTGAGGTATGTTGTGAAGATACTACTGAAGAGAGCCCGTTGGAACTATTCATTGACAGTATAATCACGGTCAGTATTCCTTTTGTAGAATGTTCGAAGTCTGAGATAAAAATTGTAAGCCTTGTAAGCTACTTTTATCAATTGTAACTACAAGGTGCACTGTGTGGTGTACGCTGCATTGGTCGCAGTACTACTTGAACTTCGCACTAGTAATACATTGTGGCGTCTACACGTTAGTCTCGTCTCATGAATAAATATATAATAATTTCATACAGCCGATTCTGATCGACAAATATTGTCGCCATACCTAAAATAGACAGCCTGACTGTCCTGCGGACTTTAGCACATAAACAAACCTTTAATTCTCTAGTGGGCCTTGCCTCACGTATTGCCACTAGGAGATGTAAAAGTCGAGAGATAGACGCTAAAATGTGCTACCCTGGCCAAGTCCTAGTCTAAATTTCGAATTTTAATGCCGCTTCGAGTGAGCTACTACAATCGGGAATGTATGATCGATACTTTAATATGTATAATCAAACTCTGCTGATGAGCATACACCTCTCGGTGGGTTTTATGTTTATCATTTATCTTGTTGCATACTTACCTTTTTGTTATCAACTTTCATGAATCCCGTTCCCTAGCCCCAAGGAACAGTTTATCGATTCAATACAACTATTGAAAGAGAGGCCTTGCTTTTTCCAAACTGCAGTATGGCCCTTTGCTGGGCTGTATGGTGTATTACTATATGTAGGATTTCAAGAATGGGAGGTATGTATGCAATCATTTGCTAGACCATGAATTCGAATTCGCTTTCGCTTAACAATTCATCTACTTTAGTGTACCTATGAATTGAAATGTAGTACTATTATTTAATGATTATTACAAATAAACTCGACCTGTGGTGCCTTCTTTTTTACAGACTCTTGAGGATGATGCTTACTGGCAGCTCTTTAAAATCTCAATTGCTGTCGTTGTTGTCACGCAATTATTCGTCTACTTGGGCACGCATTGGTCTCGAAGGTTTAAAGCACGTGTGTGTTATTGGAAGGTAAAGTGTCGGAAAGTATTGTATCTGACTCGTCACATTACGACAATAGATAGGTATATCTAACCATAGAATCTGAATTGAGTGTACTGGCGTTTTCTAAGTAGTAGCAGAACTATAAATTGTAACTCTCATTCTGCAATACGTGCGCGGTCCAAGTCGTTTAACTGGTCTTGCTTCATCTCTGTTTTGAACATGCCTCATTTCTACATACGTACATCCGTACAGTCGGACTCTCTGGTCGACTCCACGCATGTGTTTGTCAGCCCGCGTGGAGTGAATGTGGGAAGAAATCAAATTGTACCCATTAAAGTAGATGCGACATATTCTACCCCGGATCTGGTTGCGAACAGTTCGAGAATCAGATGTTCAATACATTACGAACACATGAAGTACCTGTGCTTGGAGGATGAGGTGAGCAAGCAAATTAGCTTGTTGCCACTCGCATACCCAGACAGTATGGATATTGAAAGCTACCGTCAGCGAACAGGCTTATGCAGCCGGGAAGCGATTAAAACGGCATACAGCACGTATGGAGGCAACAGGTTTGACATACCCTTACCCTCGTTCTCCGAGCTACTGTTGGAACAGGCGTTGGCGCCATTCTTCATATTTCAGGTACGTTCGATTAGCCGTGTTTGTTCGTTTAGTCATATACGTACTTAGACATCGCAAACTTCGACTGTTTATTGCGATGCAAACTGGACCGCTTAAAGATGCCATCACCTCCAAGCTTGGTCGTCTCTAATTATGAGTCATTTGCATAATAACAGGTTTTCTGTGTGGTACTCTGGTCTCTGGATGAATATGTATACTACAGTCTACTCACCTTGGTGATGTTAGTCTTTTTCGAGTGCACCGTTGTATCTCAGAGGCGGAGAAATATGGAAAGCTTGCTGCTTCTCTCTGCCAAGCCTCATCCTATACGGGTATATAGAGCAGGTATATATTTTATTGTCGATGTTGGTGCTGATGCATGCATATCTGATAATCTATGTGTTGACCAAATTTTGGTTATTGTATTGTGCAACAAAGAAGATCACGATTTATCGATGCCTCACATCGACTAAATGTATACCAAATATTAGGGTCGTGGGCGGTTCTGGCATCTCATCGTCTCCTTCCCGGAGATGTGGTGGCAATCGAGCCGGACGTACACAAGAGGGGCGACATGCCTATTCCATGTGATATTCTGCTGCTGTCTGGGACGTGCATTACGAATGAAGCCATGTTGACGTATGTCGTTCTTGTATGGCATATGTTGGAAGCAGCTAAAATTTACGACGAATATGCCCTTATAGTGTCGGCCTTTATTGATGTAAAAGTCAATTCTATACTTCGTTTAAAATTTTTCAAGTTTAAGGGAGTTCCCTTGTTAAATTTGATTGATAAGACATATAGCTTTGCCAGTGTATAGTTCTAGTTCTAGGGGACGCATGTTGACCACTAGATGCCTGCATTAACGTCAAGACCTCTAGAAAGTTATACCGTGGTCTTTGTTCGCATGTGACCAAACTTTACCAATGTAACAATCGTAAAAGCTTTTGTTGGTATTGGTATGGAAATCTGGTTGGCGTTATCTATGTTTAATAGCGGGGAGGGCAAACCACGTCAGAAAGAAAGCCCGATATGGAATACTCAAATTGCATCGGCGAACATAGTCCAAGGCAAAACTGGGCCTCCATTGGGACCGGACCCGGAATTACCAGAATGCCTGGGAATAACTGATCGACATGCCGGGAATGTTTTATTCGGAGGTACTACCATTGTACACTCTTCCGGAGTAGCAGAAGGTTTGCGCACTTACAAGGATCTTTCGATACCGCCGCCTCCGCCGTTATACAACTTTGGTAAGTCTCGTGCCTTTCTTGCGTTCATTTTCACAGTGAAGAATCCAGGGCTGTAGGTCCAAGCTACACCTTCCTATTGATGCAGTTGCGTGTTGCGTAGACCACTTACGAAGTCAAATTCCAATGTTTTCGCCCACTAGATCGGAAAGGTGGTTCTGAAGTCGAGGCTGCAACAGTCAAAGACGCGCACCTCCCATGCATTGGCTATGTGATGCGAACAGGATTTGCCACGAAACAGGGTCAGCTGGTGCGCAAGATACTTTTCAGCACACAGCGTGTAACGGCGAACAACAAAGAGAGCTTTGTTTTTATACTCTTTCTGCTCGTGTTTGCGATTGTCGCTGCAGCATATGTGTGGGTCCAGCGGGCAGACCAGCAGGACACTGCCTTGGCGAAAGCTATAGCTGCGCGCGAGCCTATGGCAACGAATACGGCACATGAAGGTTGGTGAGTGATATTTATGCGTACTTCCCTTTCTTTAGCTAACGGTGGTGTAAGCCGTCAGATTTGACTGGTTACTTGCAGATACGTCAGTTTACGTAGATCGCGCGCTTTGTATATCTAGGCTTGATGGAAGTCGTGGAATACTCCCCTGTTCCGACAGCACATACTGAAGGAACTGTTTCAAAAGCAACACTCGCGAATTACTACACAATTTAGTACGATATGTCTCTAGTGGACCAATTCACAAAGCACAATACTTCCACTGACATGGATCGTGTTTTTCATCACCTCGCAGAACTCATAGGAGACAACGTAGATGAGGAACTGGAGGGACGTTGGCGAATTGTTTTGGAGTGCCTATTGATCATAACGTCGGTGGTGCCGCCAGAGTTGCCAATGGAGCTCTCTCTGGCTGTCAATTCCTCCATGGCCAGACTACAGCGGTTGGCCATATTTTGTACTGAGCCGTTCCGTATACCTTTGGCAGGGAAGGTGAATGTATGCTGTTTTGATAAGACAGGTATGTGTCGCATTTGTGGGCAACACTTCAGCGGAAATACCCGTCTGTGTTAGGTCTCTTGTACCCGTGTATTCTCCTTTTAAGCGTTTGAATATGCAAATCCTGTCCAAACCTATGCTCGAGTTAATCTAGGATTATGTGTTGTGATACTCAATTCGATGTTGTGTGCACAGCTGTGAAGCATTTGCGTAATGCTGTATACTACGTGTTTGTTTTAGTAAACTGATAGCATAAGGCATATACGCTGTGCCGTACCTAATGATATAATTGTGTCCGTCAGGTGGGGCAGTCATTCCTTGTGTCAGCTTTTGGGTTACCTTCGAGTTATAGTTTATGTCGTTTCTATTTGTACCGTACCCGAATTATATATTCATCCGTTAAGGCTAGCATGCTGGACTAATAAAAAGCAATGCTCGTTCAACCATTAAAAAAGGTATATCAAGTTCTGTGCGAATCGTCTTGGCTTTTAAATACGAACTTTACCTTGCATCTTAGGTACGCTGACGAGTGACAAATTAGATATAGAGGGAGTTGTTGTGGACATGCACTCCACGGACGAGATAAGATCGGAGGGCGCTGCTGACATACAAGGAAATGCCGAACGTAAAAATGAAGAATCAATCGCAGCGATGGTCAAGAAAGGCGGGATACTACCTGAAGCGTCTGTGATGGTTCTTGCGGGGTGCCACTCGGCCTCCCTCACGTCTGCAGGGTGTGTCGTTGACTGCTTTCATATAATTCGAGATTATAGTAGGACTTTTATGGTTGCCGCCACTGTTGTTTTCCCTTTCTAATTTGAATTGGTGTCGATTTTCGCCACTTTCTCCTCTTACTTCATTCTATGGCATCCTGCATGCAGAAAGATAGTTGCCGACCCCCTTGAGAGCGCAATGCTCCGGTTTGCCAATGCGGCCCCACAGCACGATGGTTCGATTCTGATCCAAAAGAGTAGGAAGGATACCGATACCGCCTACGTTGTCAAAATCTTAAAGAAATTTTCCTTCAACTCTCTTCTGAAACGCATGACTACTATCATAAGTAAGTAACGTATCGATCTTATCCTCCATAATGGTTGTGTTTTGTCCTGAGCCGGATAACCTGTAGTTCTGTTGTGTTCGTGGATCCTGAAGCACACATACTTCACTGTAACCGAGGTTCGGTTAATTTATGTCTACAATGATTAGTGCTCTGGTTTCTAAGTATATACTCAGGACGCCTTTTTTATCCGACCATGAATTCCCAACGATACTACATGTGTACCCGAAATGCACAGCAATGAATGGGGAGCTTTTTATAGTCAGCAAAGGCGCCCCGGAAATGATGAGTGGTCTCCTAGATACTATACCACCGCACTACAATGAACTGTATAACCGCTACGCTGCATCGGGATATCGAGTGCTTGCGATGGCAGCTGCACCTCTTCCACGCGCCATGTCAACGGTCGGTTTCATCGAATTGGATGTTTTATATGTCATGCACTTTTTTTACTGTATGTATTGAAGATACGTGACTGCCGTCGAGTTCGGACGGATCTTAAATCTTGGGAGCCACAAATACACTGTCTGTCCAATACGTTGAGTTATACTTCTTGTGTCAGGTACTTTTTTTACATATCGTCAATGGTGTTGTGTACGAATGAACCGCAATTCTTCAACGGCACCGTGCTATGACGAAATTTGGGTTGTATGCGCTTGTAGCTACGAACTCAATTCATGACAACTCTCAATTCTGACGGCGTTTGCAGAATATCGGCACTCTGGACAGAGCAACGGTGGAGACAAATTTAGAGTTCGCAGGGTTCTTAATAGTGTCTTGTGAGCTGAAGCCTGAAACTAAGCCTACGATTAGAACTCTAAGAGAAACATCGCATGCGGTATGTATATGACTTTAACTTCACCCGTGATAGACCGTTTGACAACTTCAAACGCTTTCACGCACTGAAGTATTCTCAATTGTGAACTTTGTTTGTTGTCATATACATTGCCCCGGTTGGACTTGACATGTAGTGCGGGTGGCCAGGCAGCTTTCCATGGTGCCTTATTCTTACGTCTCGCACACTTGTAGATGCACTTTCCACTGTATGCGATATACCTTGGCACATTCGCTCCCGCGGCTGTGCAGTATAGCACTGCATTAATTACAGACGATCTCTAGTGAACGAAATAAACTTTGACTGCAACTTTTGAGCATTGCAACTTGTTGTTAAATGTTTTTGTCCCCGTGAAGACTCAATAGCCCTGTGTTTTCTTGTTTGTTCTTGAACACCTCCTAGATACTTATGATAACCGGAGACAGTCCAATGACCGCCTGCCATGTCGCACGAGAAGCGTCTTTCCTACGCAAGAGCAAGCCGCTTTATACACTCTCAGAACATCTGAATTCTGGCGGGAAGGAGGTGCTTCAATTGTTCGGAACTGGCCAGAAAAAGACGACATCAGATGTATTCGCGACCTTGAGGGATGAAAAAGCTGCATTGTGTGTAACCGGCAAGGTGCGTTGGATGGTATATCGTGCTTTCGCAAAATCATGGCCGATGATTTTGTCGTGAAGTGAATTTGTATTCTTACAACCCCAGTTGGATTTGTACTGAATTCTGCCATGGGTAACAAAATAGTGGACTGCTATAGAATGTGATACTATGAACTGGAAGTAATTTTTGCTTGAGAACTTTCCCCCCTGATCAACCTTGGCTCTGTATCGTACTGGCATTATATCTGTAATTTGTAGTCGTGAGCAAATGCTAATATAACAATGTTTGACACCAGGGCTTAGAACGAATCACTTCGTCGGGGCAGATACACAAATTAATCCGGTACATTGTGGTGTATGCGCGGACTTCACCGGTACAAAAGGAACAGGTATTATGGTTTTTTGTTACATCTATAGTCAGGTTTGTCATGCAGACACTACAATCTGAGCCCATATCGCGAATTATTTCACACTGAAGATGAAACTTCAACCGCTATGTGTGGTACAGTTTACCAATTGGAAAAAGTAAAGCTGCACAAGACGTATTCGCATAGGGGTATCGAATCTTCTATGGCATACGGGAGTGCTTGGAAACCACTCGCGGTTGTATTCATCGTATTCTTTTGGGGTATTTGTATTTGCATAGCGCCAAATCGATCTTCTGACAGATTTATTTACGAGCTCCACATGTCATCCCGACAGATAATAGAGCTCCTGAATGCACGGGGTCATCACACACTTATGTGCGGAGATGGCACCAACGACGTAGCTGCCTTGAAGGCCGCAGTCGTAGGTAAGTGTTCGCAATCAGTGGGGGGTGGATAGGAACTTCAGTACGAAGGGTACTCCGTGTGCACCACCTGCAATGTCTGGTCGTTCTTAACAGGTCCGTATGTGGCTATCCTGCCTAAATCGATAAACTACCGATCGTTTTATCATAGGCCTCCTGCGTATCATTCACAGGGCATTCAATTGATAACCACCACGACTAAAACGTGACGCTCCCTAATATTAAAGGTGTTGCTCTTGTGGACGGGGGTGTTGGCCGAGATTTTGGCAAGGCTTTTGGCGGGAGAGCGCGTGCGGTAGCCTACAAAGGTGTCCTGCACAAAGTGAAGGGGACGAACTCGACTTTTGAGGTAGGTAGATTTTGGCTGTGACATTTCCTATTGCGACTTATCAAGGGCGGGTATCTGACAATATTCTTTTGTATACATCGAGTTTTCGAATTCCCAGTTCTGCACTCTTTAGTATATATGAAGTGCGCCTGGTATGCTCTGCTCGCACTCCGAATCTTGTACATAGTTGATACTTCAATCTGCATAGGACCATGATGAGAAACAATTCAGTTCTCATTCAGTTCTCAGTACTTTGTATAGAAATACATTTTGTTGAACATGTTTCTCTTAATCATCGCAGAATGATGGCATGGGTGATGGCTCAGAGATGTGCGATGCCACGTACGCTGCCTCCTTTACATCGAAGATCCCATCTCCACTAGCAGGTGAGTTTGTAGAACTATATTTCACTCTTTTTCTCATTTTCCGAATGCGTCGTTGATGATATTATTTGGCAGCTAGGATCCGCGTGCATGGCTCTGAGGTTGTTCTAAGTGTTGGGAAAAAGGACTACTTCAAGGTAGAATTCATGCGGATTACAATTCTTGACGGTAACATTTCTTCTTTCTCCTCCATCAAACACAGTGCTGCATATCATCCGGCACGGGCGTACGACGTTCGCTACTACGCTACAGATGTACAAAATACTCGCCATCAACTGCCTCGTCCATGTCTATTCTCTCAGCTTTCTGTACCTTGAAGGCGTCAAGTTCAGCGATTGGTGAGCCACTTCTTTGCATTCTGATTGTTACGTATGTGGTTTCTTTTGAAGTAGCCCGCTTGGAAAACAAATAAGAATCGTATATGTAGGCTATTATATGTGAGCAAAAATCCAACCTTTGTTAACTTGTAATATCACAAAACCCCTTGTATTACGTTACCAATTCCTTTTTGTTCTGCAGGCAGTATACCTTCGAGGGTCTTGCTGTTGCCATGCTGTTCTTATTTGTGGCTTTCTCGGAGGTGAGTTTCGACATGCTTGAATATTTATAGTGTGTATGGTAGATTTCCTCGATAGTTGTATTCCCAGTGACTTTAAACCGTAGTTATGCAATGCTTTACAATAGTTTTACCCCAAAACCGCTTACACATGGCCGTGGAGACGAATCCGAAATATGATGAGGAAGAGTATAATTTTTTGCATCAATACGTCGGCGGCCATTACATATCAACATTTACAATTCTCTTTCGTCACGTAGGCGGCTCCAACACTCTCGAATGAGCGACCTATGTCGACGATATTAAGCTACTATCTATTTGGCACTGTTATGTTGCAATTTATATCACACATTGCTACGCTCGTCATCTTGGTCACCACTGTGCAGAACTGGGAAAGTGCGTACGGGCTAGAAAGGTAAAGTGAACCGATAGTATTCTGGGCCTCCTATGGGGATCTTCAATTGAATATTATCTCGTAGTGTTTCTAGGTTTTCAAGTTTCTTCGTGGACTATATGTATCTAGTAACCCCAAATTGATGTGCGTATTCCAAATGCGTCTCGATTCCTCCCCGACAACATCCGCATCTCAGATATATAGGTTATTCGGGCACCATCTGTTCCGTCATGTAGTGTTTATTACAGTGCATGCTCACGCTTCGCTCGCGTACGATTAGACTATGAACAGTCATGCCTTTACAGTCTACAAATGCGAATTTATTACTATATTATATTCACTAACAGAGTGGATGCCTCCCCAGAAGATGAGTTCAAAGTATCGCTAATAAGCACAGTACTGTTCTGTTTTACGCTCCACTCAGTGGCGTTAAACTTCTTAGTTAACTATGAGGGTCGCCCGTTCATGGCGCCCTTGATTAAGAACAAAAGGATGTTGTTAAGTTCTGGAAGTATATTAGGTATGTTTCGTTTACAACAAAGTGATCAAATAATTTCGGCTTATCTATAAGCCACATTTGAATCTTGTATTGATTTCTCGCCCGTCTGGAGCTGTTTGCTGTGCACATTGTTCACTATTCGCCATTCAAATATTTGCCTTATATAATGGAAAAATACAGAATTGGTCAAACTTCACACAGACGTGTACCTAGATGTACACTTAATCCCGTTTTTATATCTTTGGAACATATTTCTACTTTGCGTCGTCGCGCACATATAAAAAATTTGAACACGCACTATCGCGCATCATATCAGAGAAACTGCATCGGATATTATAATCGATGGTGAAATTGTGAAATTATGTCTCCACTTTAATACTCAAAGGTCCGCTCTTACTTTCTGCTAGTACCAGATACATAGCCGGCGAACTGTTTATTCTATAACCACATACTATATAAATTTTACGAGTTATAACCTAATCTCCAAATTCGCTAGGGCTAGCTTATTTCATACTATTGGGCTTGGTGGAGGGCGGGGGCGAATTTTTCGATGCGATGGCAGTGCCGCAAGAGGTGAGTTCACAATTGTTCTGGGTATTTATGCTTATGTGGATACCGTTTCGCAGCGGAATTCGTAGCTTTGCGTTTCATGTGAAATTTATCATGTGTATCATTAAGTGTTATAAATGCTCGGTACCCTCAGTGTGAAATGGAAAATACGTACGTTTGCTGCATATGACTCAATCGTAGCGTCGAGGCATCGAAATCGGACACCTACACATTGGAAACACATAGCACACCACACTTTAGGAGCTGACAAGACCTTTCATTCTTTAAATGGGTAGATTCTGGTCCCAATTGTGGGTGCGCTTATAGTGGATGGGATCAGTTGCCTGCTGGCGGACACCGTAATGAGACGCATGTTCTACAGGTCTCAGAAGCGACCGCTGTGAAAAATTCGAACGCTTTTTGAGATTGAACAAATGAGCGACCCTGTCGATGCATCGGGATAATTAAATAAGATTGATCGGCGCTTGCAGGTGCGTATAAATTTCAAACATCAGAGTAGCAATAGAGAACCTCTAAAGACGATCCACGACTCGATCAGTCAATAGCATCCGCCGCGACATGGACCATTCGTGCAAATCTCAGAGAGTATTTAACTGTAGTAAGCCTACAATGTCGCTCAATGAAGAGACCTTAGGCTACTAACGGTAGAAATCAATTTCGTTGTAAGTTCAGTTTCCATTTCTCTGTGCATATGCGGCGCTGAGAAACAAGAACGTTCGCCTCGATGTACAAATTATTCCCACTGCAAGCTGACAGATATGGTTTGCGCAACACAAGAAGGCAACAATAAGTGAAAATATAGCACAGCGCCATTGTTATCGTCCACAGCGTTTTCTAGTAGTTGTATACTTCAGAACTATTCATTAAATACAATTAATCCAAGTTTTTATACTCGTATCAACTTCAAAATCACTCCATGTATTTTAGTTTGAAATATCAACCGTGTATATTTACATTTCACTTCAATAGCAGTTTACACACGTGATAGCCTATAGCTATATATATATATATGTGTGTGTGTGTGTGTGTGTGTATGTGTGTGTGTGTTTGTGTTCCTGTAAAGAAATTATATTATAT